TATGAGAAAAGGAAAAAAAGGAAAACAAAGTCTTTGTAAATAGGGAAGGGTGGAGGGAGTGAAAGGAGGGCAGGGAAATGGGGAAAAAAATAAGAACAAAGATACATCATGTAAAGGTACAAGATCCCAATGATGAATGTAGCTGTATTTTATACCTAAAATGTACCAATAAACTTAATGGAAAAAAAAAAAATGAAGTTGCTAGTTACCAAAAGAACATGTACAATATAGTTCCTTTTTACCTAAAATATCTGTCTATCCAATATTCAACCTATAAAAACAGACTCATAAAGTCTAGAACAATCTAAAAAGATGCTGACATAATTTTAATGGTTGTCATTACTCTAGGGTTGCATTTTTAGTATAAATATTTCCTCTATCTTCTTTGCATTTTTTGTACTACATGTATTTTTTAATTCACGTTTGTCTTTTACACCAAAATAATTGTCTTTATTTTATTGGTTATATAAATACAAATAAAGCAAGTATAGTAATGTTAATTACAGAGGAATTAGAACTCAAGGAAACAAATTTACACAGAAAAAAAGTTAGAAGTGTAATCTATAATAAAAACAACTGTGAATGCATTACCAAAAAATGTACACCAAAATGTACAATAAAAAATAAGCAATAAAAGGAAAATCATTTGGAAATTACAAGGGAAAGAAAGATTCAATTTAAAATAGCAACAAACAACATGAATCGGGAATAAATTTAGTAAGAAATATTCAAAACGCACGTAAGAATGTAAAATGCTTCATAATGACAGGAAGGTAGACTGAAACAAACTGAAGGGCATTCCATACTCTGGCACAAAACTGAGTATCATGAAGATGTCAATTCTCCTTAGGTTTACTCATAATTACTACTCTACTGAAATACTTATTAAAAAATCAGCTAGCTTACTCTATCTTCAGTACAGAAAAATCAATAAATAGTAATGGTCAGAAACACACTAAAAAAGAGCAGCAACAGAATGGCCATCTTTATCATCTCTACCCTACTTAGCCTAAGAGGCCCACTTCAGACAGTGTTATATTGGCCCCTTGCTCTCTAACTCTGAATTTGATCAGTTAGTATTGCTGGCTGAGGATTAGAGGGTAAGTGGAGAAAGAAAGTAGATAATTAATTTCCCTGGCTTCCTCTGCTGATGCAGTTTGGCAGTGCCTGTCTTCCTCTAAGACAGTACTAACTCCTACCAGGCAGCCTCTCTCCTAGGGTTGACTTTTCCATGAGATCTGATAATAGCTCACTGCCCGTGCTGGTCTAAGAGTGGTAATGGTTTTCTGTTGCTGATAATCCATGACATGCAGTATTCAGAATCTAATATCTATTTTGAGAAAACTGACATCTTTTTCATATTGAATCTTCCAAACCATGAATTTTGTATATTAGACCTTTCATTTTTCTCAATAATGCTGTAAAGCACTCTATATAGAAGTAATATATACATCTTACATTATATTTATAATTCTTATTTCAGCCATCTTACATTATACTGTTCACATCTTTAGTGATATTTTAAATCATTAAATTCATTTCCTAATTTTGTGCTGATATAAAAAGATAATTGAATTTTATATACCTTGTACCAACAAGCATGCAAAACTCATTTATTAACTTAAACAATGTATCTACAAGTTATTTTCAGTTTTCTATGTAACTTTATCATATTTTAGGAAAATAAACAGGTCTTTTTCCTTAATTTCCAGTTCCTGTATCTTTTGTTATCTGTTCCTTAATGCATACTCATTATTTATAACAATATGCTATACATTATTGTACTATATTTTGCAAAACTATGGGTATAGTTTATGTCCAGAATTGTTTTACCATTCTCCAAGATAATTTGCTTCTGCTAAGTGTCTAGGAACACCAACAATCAAGATGTATTAATCCAACTTCAGGATTCTGAATTTAGAATTTTCCTAACCAAAATTATGACTGCACTCAGTTGACTTTCAACTTGTCACAGGTTCATAACTAATTTCTAACAAAAAAATTCACCTCAATTATAAAATCATTACCTATATACGCAAAAGTTTTATTTAGACAACTTAAGCAGTTATCAGTTTTATCCAACTTATTCATTCATAGGCTTGTACATATTAGAAGCACGTATTATAGGCACATATACTTATTTATTTATATTCTAACTGGGGAAAAGTCATTTGAGGTATTCACAAAAACATCACATAGCACAATGAGTAACATGGTGGTACGGTTTAGATCTAAAATATTCCCTATAAGTCTCATGTGTTGGGAAAGTGGATCACGGGGGTGCTACACTCATCAGCAGATTTATCCATGGCTGAGTTCAAGAGCTGAACGTGCTGTTAGAATATGGGACTTAGTTGGAGGTGAGTGACTGGGGATGTGGCCTGGATGAGTATATTCCTATCCCAGCCCCTAGCCCTTTCTCTCTGTCTGTCTTTTTTCTTCTCTCTTCTCTCTCTCTCTCTCTGTCTCTCTCTGTCTCTCTGTGTGTCTATCTGCCTCACTCTCTCTCTTCCTCCCTCCCTCCCTCCCTCTGTTTCCAGGCTGTCTTGGGTGAGCAGCATTCTCCCACTATGTCCCTCCACCATGATGTTCTTTCTTGGACCAAACCACCATAAGTAAATACTAAAAACCATGAGCCAAAATAAACCTCTCACCCTTTAAATTGTGGGTTTCAGGTATTGTGTCCCAGGGACAGGAAAGTGACATTGATTAAATATTTAATAAAATATAAATGATGATGAACTTAACAGAAATAAATATATACAGAAGCAAAGTTAAGTCATCTTCATCATTTATCAAGAAGGAAAAGTGTATCCAAATAAGGATATGCCTAGACCAATTCTTCCATAATTACAGCTCTGTGTGTCTTGAGTACAACATACATATTCAATAAAGAAATGCTTGTGTATCATAACTACCCCCTCTAATGAAGTAAAAATGATAAAGAAAATGAAATATGTAGTTCATCTAACAGGTAATTCTTACAGAGAAAACTCAGAAGAAACACTGCAGACATCTCAACTACTATCCTACAATGAGAGTTCAAGTCAGACTCCTCTGTTCCAAATTAGCAACTTTGTGCTACTATCTTCTACCTCTGTGAGTCCATATAATCAAACTCACAATTATACGTGGTCCTTTAGCTATTGTCCTCTTACTGTGCATAAGAAAATATGCATCTATGGATATTATATTGCCTTACTTATTGTAGCTATAGTTCTTATTTAAGTCAAAGTATTTGGGTCAAAATGTATTTCACACTACAATATGTCCTAGAATGGAAATCATATTTCATCCAATAGCCTTTTACCATCATACTCTAAAATAGAAAAGATGCTATTGGAATATTCTGAGCAGATCTAGATGCTATGTTTTAAGAAAAATATTGAGAACATACATATTAACAATATGGAATATGTTCAGAAATGTAACCCAAAACACTATAACATCTGTGAAAGATGTATATGAAAAATTTCTATGAAAAATAAGGGTAATCAGTTAATAAAAAAGTCATTGAAACTACCATCTACTACTACAAGTGCTTTGTTATAGAACAGGGACAGATTGTCACTAAGATTCTCCAGATAAAAAAACTGAGGTAAATGGATAGCTATTATAAAAAAGGGAAATTTCAACTTAACATACAAAGTGTTCAAAAACTTAATATAAAATAAAAACAGCAGTCTTGAAAAGTATGAGAAACTTCCAAACTAAAAGTATCAAAATCTAAAAGCTGTAATATCTTATTAAGAAAAGGATAGAAATAAGTAATTCTAAAATTTCTTTGAAGTCTAAGATTCTAAGAGTACTTTTCTGGCTTTGTTAAATTATGAGCTTTAAAACATTAGGGAGTTGTGGGTGTAGCACAGTGAAACAGCACTTGTTTAACATGTCAGGCCAAGGGTTCAATCCTTAGAAAAATAAAAATTTTTAAATAAGAAAATTACAACATGAATTGATAAACCAACCAATCTATTATCACAAAATATATACTTCTCTCTCAGAGGACAAGAAAGTTTTTATTTATTTATTTATTTTCAGTACTGGAGGTTGAACTCAGGACCTTGTGCTTGCCAGGCAGGCACGGTGCCACTGAGCTATATCCTCGGCTCTTAACCAAGAAAAATTCTGTACTAATTTATACTCTCTAACACTATTTTCAAATCAAGATAATCATGAAGTAAGAAGGTAGTCTTAACATATTTTAACACACAAGTATATCAAGTAATCCCACTTTATGATCAGTATAATTTAAAAGGTTGATACAGAAACAATTATTTCATGAGCTAAAACTATATAGAAAGAACATAATAAAATAAAAATTCAAAATCCAGTCTTAATTATAATTACGATTACAATGTGAATGTTATTAACACATAGCTAGGAATGTGAAAAGGAATAATTAATGAAAGTACTCTCTTGGTGTGATGGTTTAGGTGTCAAATGGCCCTACAGCCTCAAGTGTGTGGAAAGTAACTGGATCGCAAGGGCACCACAGCTGACTTGCTGTGAGGAGCAGGGTCTGGGTGGAAGAAGGGGGTCACTGGGATGGTGACTGGGAAAGGGATCTCTCCTGGCCCAGCTTCTACCTTCTTCCTCTGCCTCCTGGCCACCAAGACATAGGCAGCTTTCATCTACTGTGACCCTCTGGATGCTGCTTCTGCCTTGGAGCCAGTGATCACAGATGGTAACATTCAGCCAAAATAAACCTCTCTTCCTTTAAGGTACAGGTGTTCCATGTTTTGTTACAGCAACAAAGAAAGTGATTAAGACACCTTGTTAAAACTGAAACAAGGTAACTCCTCAACTGTGGGCTCTCAATATTGTGAATACCCTGTGCATTCTGGAAAACAGTTCCCTGTTCAGTACATACAATTCCATATTTACACAACAAAGGTACATTTTGTCATTAGGGAGTGTTAATAATAAACACAAATGCCATAATACTGAATAACTAATGACATTTGTATAATGTTGACTTACAAACTGCATATACTTGCCTGACCAAAGAAATATCCACATCCTTCTGGAGAAGTTCAGTCTGTTTATTATTCAATTGTAATGATACAGCATCATATTTACTCTGTGATACTTCAATTTCTTTCTTTGCTTCAATTAAATTATCTTCAAAGACCTAAAATTAGAGCATTTATATTACAAATAAACATAACACTCATGAAATACATAAAATGTTATATATTACTATTCTACAAAATGACAAAAAAGAACAATGTTTTAATTTTTTTCATTTAATTAAAAAATAGCACAAAGTATAACTTTTGTATCAGTCATAGGTTTTTTCAGAAACAAAAAATGCATCATAGCTTCCTAGTGTCAAAACTAAGAATCTGAAGTGACAAAACATGAAAATTTGCATAGAAATTTAGTTACTAAAATTATAATAGAGATATTATTATAAAATTTTGGTTCACTAAATGAAAGATGAGTTGTTACATAAATAGTAGAAAAATGCGATAGTTATCCCATTTCATTGTTTTCCTTTTTTAAATGTATATACACAAATACACTCAAAAAAGAAAGAACAGTATTGTAAACATATCAAAAAATTTTCCGAAGTTTGAGAGTCAAACCATGCTCTGCTCTCTTGATTGTGGTGAAATTTTACCTAAAGTTCTTCAAATATGCCCTTTTCCTTCTGACCATTCTCTAAGTCTTATTTCATGTTGAATCAATCTTAAATTTTGATGTCACATTTTTGTTTTTTAAAATATATAAATTTTTACTTTATGGAAAATTAAATAAAAATTATATCTAAATAGTGTTTGCCCCCATAACTCCATACATTCTTTAATTCCAAAAATGCTCATTATGTTGTAGGTTAAGAACTAGTAATTCCCATTTATTCCCAAAAAAGAAATGACAGATACATAAAGTAAGCTGATAAATGAAGAAAAGAATAAAGAAGTAAGGGAGAAAAAGCAGAAATGAAGGAAGAAAGACAGGAAGAGTTTTTTCCCTCCAAAATATTAAAATAACTATAGCAATGGATCTGACACAAAGTGATGAGAGTTAAGCAAAAACCTTTCCATCTCTGTTCTCTGCTCTCTTTAAAGCTGGGCGGATGCTGAACTACTTAGGATAAGAATTCAGATGCAGGGGCCGGGAATTTAGCTCAGTGGTTTCAATGCCTGCTACTCAAGCGCAAGGACCCGAGTTGGATCCCTGGTACCAAAAAGAAAAAAAAAAAAAAGAATTCAGACTCAGAAAATGAAACTGGGAACTGTGGGAGAAGGAAAGAAGGAGGGGGGGAGGGAAAGGCTTTTGTGACTGTGTCCTGGAGACACAAAAGAAATTTTTTTACACCACCATAGGCAGGATCTGTAAAAGCTGCCCATCTCAAGATTCAGTCTGATGTATATCAAATATCAGAGATGAACAGGGAACCCCGGGCATGGAAAAGGATTTGTCTCAGACTGGAGTACCCCAAAGTGCCAGGAATTCTAAAAGTGCCTAAAAAGGACAAGTAAACATTGGGGTGGAAATAAAGAACATTAAAACACTCCCACTCAAGATGAACCCTTAGAAACTCTGACCTTCAAAAAGAGAGTCAAGAAAGTGAGCATGGGGCCAGGGATTTAGTTCAGGGGTTCCGCCATCTGCCTCACAAGCACAAGGAGAGGAGTTCAATCCCCGGTACCAAAAAAAAAAAAAAAGAAAAAGAAAGTGAGCAAGGAAAGATAAACACCATCATAGCAAAACAGAAGTATTAGAACCACTGCAAATGAAATATGAAATATAACCCAAAACATGGAACAATCAGGCTGTGGAAGCAAAAAATTATAGCTAGTGTCAAAGTAGAAACAGAGACAGAAGGCTACTGAATCCAACCAATCAAACAATCCAGCCAAACCTGACAGATAATAAAAGAGGCGAAAATTAAGCTTTGAGATATATTCTGAAGACAGAAATGACAAGCCCTGTTGGCAAGTTGTCTCTTTGGTAGCAAGACAAAGCCAGGAATCAAAGATCTCCCAGGGAGATGGCCTGAAAACACAGGTGAAGACAGGTTCCATTTGCCACTGTATGGCAGATTACAGAAAGGACTGGTTTGAGAACAAAAATTCAAATGTCTGCTTCAGACAGACCCAACAGACACTTTTAAATTTTGGGAAAATACCAGGACAAGTCTTCCAAAAAGCTTAAACACCTAGAAAACATTTTAAGGAAAAAACTAAATTACTAGAATAGAAAAAAAAAAGCCATAGAACTTCACTTTTACTTCTAAATAGGTAAGGAAGGGAAGAAAATAAAGGAGAAAAATGCATTTCTGAATACAGACAGTCTTAAAGCCAGACCTCTGATAGAATTCCAGCTGGAGTTTCTATTGTTGGAAGGTCAACTAACCCCAAATCCAGAGGGTGGCACTACATGACTCAAGCTCCCAAGGCACTTGGAGAGAAAACAGCTTTACTCTGAATGAAGACTTAAGAACAATATTGCGTTAAAGCAAAACTTTTTACCATTTTCCACTGTATATTGTGGTCAGGTTTGAGTCATGTGACTATCATACCAATTTTAAATGAAAAAATTCAAAAGAAATGGGAACAAGAAAATGTTTAAAAAGATAATGAAATATTTAATAAATGTCAATAAACAATCATGCATTCAAAACGTACTCACCAAAACATTGCACCCAATCCTGCAGGTTTAAAGGAAGAATCTAAAAAAAATTTCAATGAAAGAATAACCTAGAAAGAATAGTCTTGTGGGAAATATTATAAAGAATGAAAAAATGATGTTCCAAACTCATTTTATGAAATTTCTATGATCTTTTACCCAAGTCAAAAATAGGAGAAAAATAAAGGCACATTTCAGGGTAACACAGGAATACAAAACTAGGGAAAATAGAAAATTCCAGGGCCAAGGAATCGGCCATCCAATTGGCCATCCAAGGCTCAGTGGCGCCATCCCATCCTCACAAGCACAAGGTCCTGAGTTCTATCCCCATTACTGAAGGAAAAAATAATAATAATAATCTATACTAAATAGTACTAAAGAAAGTTTTTTATTGAGATTATCTGTTCCTCCTTGCATTAAACACATTTATCCCATCATTTTTTTTTTGGTACCAGGGATCAAAATTGGGACCTTGCGCTTGCGAGGCAGGTGGTTATCCCATCATTCTTGCCACTTTCTAAAGCTGCTCTGGAAGTCTTTTTTCTTATCTTTACAGAATATGATCAAAAATAAGGTGAATTCTGGTGTTAAACATCATCCAATATATAAAAATGTTATGGCATGTGCTTATCCACCTTATTCACCAGATCAGGCACCATGCAACTTCTGGCTCCTCTCCAAAGTCCAATGACCATGAAAGATAGAAATTTTGAGTCAACTTGGGACACAGAGGCAGCCATGAGAGTGCAACTAAAGACATTCATGAAAGCGGACTTTCTAGAACTGCTTCAGAAATTGGTAAGATAAAACGGGGTAGATGTATTCAAAGCAAGGGGAAGTATTTTAAAGGAGATTAATGGCAATGTGTCTTTTACTATGATAATTTTCAAAATTTAAACATACACTATATCTTTTGGTTACAACTTACATTTACTTTGTTTTTTTTCTTTTTTTGTTGTTTTTGTTTGTTTGTTTTACCTCCTGCCATTCAAGGAATACTTGTGTACAACATTTTCTAAATATGAGCTAAAAGACATTTCAGTGACAATACATAATGAGGAATAGCTTTTGCAAAAATAAATTTGAAAAGTAACTAAACAAATGCACTTTCAATTTAAAAACCTTTCAAGAAGTGGTAAATCTGATTACCAGTTTTACCACATTATACATCAAATGTGTTTGATAATAATTTAAGTAACAAATCACAGGCATACAACAAAACAGGAAAGCACAGTCCATAAAAAGAAACAGACTATCCATGGTAGATTCCAGATATAGTACTGGACTTACTAGGCAATAATTTTAAAACAACTAACAGAGATGGTCTGAGAGCCAAAGAACAACACAGAAAAAGACTAACAGAGCAGTATGTAGTAGCGTATGCCTGTAATCTCAACACCAGAAAGCTGCAGCAGGAGGATTACAAGTTCAAGCCCAGACTGGGGAATTTAGTGAGATATTGTCTCAAAATATAAAAAAAAAAATAATAATAATAATAAAAGGCTAAGAATGTAGCTCAGTATGAAGGCCCTGGATTCAATCTTCATTACCTCTCAAACCCCACCCCCCTAAAACATAAAAGGAACTCAAAATATAAAAAAAATAATAATAATAATAATAAAAGGCTAAGAATGTAGCTCAGTATGAAGGCCCTGGATTCAATCTTCATTACCTCTCAAACCCCACCCCCCTAAAACATAAAAGGAAATCAGTATGTATAAACCAAAAGAATATAAATAAAGAGAAACTATTAAAAGAAATCAAACAGAAATTCTGGAGCTAAAATGTATATGATATGAAAAATTTACTAATGGGGTCAACAGCAGATTAGAGCAGACAAAAGAAAGAATTAGCAGATTATTATATTACTTGTAATTATTGAATCTCAGAAGTAGAAAGTGATAAGAACAAAAACTGAGTGAACTAAGCCTAGGGACAGATGGAATATCATGAAGCAAAAGGCAGAAATAATATTTGATGAACTGATGGCCAAAAAATTCACAAATTTGATGACACACATAAATCTACAAATCCAAAAACCATGATGAATTCCAAATAAGTTCAACAGAAACACACCCACATTAAAATACATCATAATAAAACTCACGAAAATCAAATAAAAAATAAGAGAACAGGGCCAGGGATTTAGCTCAGTGGTTCCTGTGCCTGCCTCACAAGCGCAAGGTCCCCAGTTTGATCCCGGGTATCAATCAATCAATCAATCAATCAATAAGAGAACAGGGCCAGGGATTTAGCTCAGTGGTGCCACCGCCTGCCTAGAAAGTACAAGGTCCTGAGTTCAATCCCCAGTACCAAAAAAAAAAAAAAATAGAGAGAATAATGAAAGCAGCAAGTGAGAAGTGACTCATCAAACAAGGAATCTTCCCTGAGATTCAAAGGTAACTTTTCACCAAAAACCATGGAGGCCAAAGGTAAGGAGATAATAGATTAATATTTTCAAAGAAAAACCTGTCAACACTGAATTCTATACCTAGC